TTATTGTCCTTCAATCTTAGGAGGGCATAGCTGGCTCAGCTCCAAGTCCAGTTGCCATCCGGCTGCCCATTGGCAGCTCAGGCACAACTTACTGACCCATGTGGGAATCGAACTGGTGACTCTGTTGCTCAGTGCTCACACTCTTAACCAACAGAACCACTAGGCCAGTCCAATTTTTACTTTTTTTGTGGCCAAATCTTATCTGCTCCTAGGTGGTCATTGCTGTATTTCATTTCTCAGTGGGATATCTATTTCTTCTTTACTATTCTTTACTATTTCTCCCTACATATTCCTGGAATTGTGTGTTTCACCTGCCCAGCTCTCTCTTAGCAACTATAGTTAGATTTTTCTTGCTTCTTAGTATCTGCTTTGCCTAATTATCATACATTATTTCTGTTTGTAGTAGTCAGATAGGTAATACGTCAGCATTTGTGAAAACAATAGGGAATAAAATAAATGCACATAACCTTTCAATACAAAAATGGAAGAATACATAAATAGGTATCCTGAAAGAGGCACATAAAAATCACTCAAGAGATTCAAAGACAGGTGGCATCTGGTTACAGTGCCTATAATTTTACTTTAAATACTTTAGCATAGATGGGGTAGTATTATGTGTTTCTTATTTTGAGCAGGTCAAAATAAGAACTCAGTGGCTGAATTCTGTGTTCTGATAGGGAATTTACGGTCCAGGTGTTGTCAGCAGCATTCTAAGGAGAAAGCCCCTGTACCCACCACTGCACAGGCTCTTGCCTCATTTGCGTCAACACCTCAGGCTTTTCTAATCACCCTGCGAATGTCAGCAATGCTTCTCATTTGTGAGTTAGATTTTTTTATGACTATAGTAAATGGTAAAATGGGTTCTCATTGGTAAAATTAAAGATATTCAAGGTATGTGATTTAGTTTAAGTGTTTTCCAGAAACATTCATTCTTTTGAGAACAGTGTATTAGAATTCAGCAAGGCTTATATTCCTTATGCTTAGAGATGATGACTTAGTTCAGTGGTATATAATCTTTTTGAAATCCATGCACACTCTTAAAATTTAGTGAAAAGCCCATAAAAACATAGCAGGGGTGCTAAAAAATTGTATATGCATGATTTGTATTCAACTTTTGTTATTGGTATATATTGAGTATTACAATTTTAATACAGTTTTTTTCTTTCTTTAAATGTGTGTACTTTTTTGGCACTCTCTGTATTATATTCAATATTATAAAATTCAATATTATAAAATTGAAAGGAATTAAAAGATTTATTAATTAGATTAAAAATAGTGATAAGTGAATTGTGTTAAACATGCATACTTATGAAAAATAACTTTATTCTTTAAAAAAAGTGGGAAGAATGACATTGTTTTACATTTTTGAAACTCTTTTTAGTGCCTGGGTTATTACATGACACCTAGATGCTCACAAGTTCCTGCTTTCAGTCTGTTGAGAAACACTGTTTTGAAGCACATAAAGCAAACTCGTCCTCCTACCTCATCTGACTTATGCAGCTGGAAAATAAGAAGTGGCTTAATAGCCTTTGCAGATAATTTTGGATTTTTTTTTGGTATTATATCACAACATAACAAGTGAAAATTTATTGAAGATTAGTTGCAATGTGGAATCTGAAACATTATCCATGAACATTTTGTATTCTGCTCCATTAAAACATTGGCCTGTCTTGCACTCTGGATGGATCTTTTATCCATGCGAAATTTGGTAATATCATACCTCGGCCATTACGAAATATTGGTGCACTGATTTATGCAGATCTTCCATATGTTAACATACTTCATTTTACAAGATCAAAATAACCACAGTCATTAACATAACCCCTAATCTCATGAGAAAAGTTTATAAATATTGGGCAACTGCCAATATGGTGAAGAAAAAGGTCTAAAATTCTCAATTTTGCTCGAAAGCTCCAATGTAATCACTGGCAACAAATATTGTCAATTGCTTTCTTTGAAGTAACAGGCTCACTTCATTTACTTTTGTGAAGATAATGGCCAAATACCCAAGATTGAAAAACCACATTTTGTCTTTTAGTTTCTATTTCAAGTAAAAATAGCATTTGATGATAAAAACATGTAATTCAGCTCCAACACAACCACACAAGTGGTTTACCTGAGACAACTACCATGCTTTGGTATACAGCATAAGCACATCATATAAATTTTAATTTGCATGCAGAACATTAAAAGAAATATTCCCATGGGTCTAGATTTCATAAACAATGTTTTATTGCTTTCTCAAGGACATTCTTAAGTGAAACTTTTTCCCCCCTTGTAAATGCACTGTCAGTGAAGAACCAAAGACTCCTAAAACAGTTTGGAACCTCTGCTTTTGTACCATCAGTGTAAAAACTGAAACACTGTTTAACAGGCAAATAACATGTTATTATTATTATTTTTTTTTTAAGATTTTTTTATGGGAGTTAGGGTGATGGGAACAGTGCTAGGGAATTGGGGGAAGGGGAACAGACAAGTTGCTGTCATTTTTTGTTCTTCAGTCTAGTTGTGGAGGATGTTGCTTCACTGGCCCAAGTTGGCACCATCATTGCACTCTTCCCAGACGAGGCAGATCAGTCGCCGGCTTCTAGACGGCCGCTCACTGCGGCTGCTGGTCGCTCACGCTGGCTGCTGGCTACATAGGGTAGCCCATGGCAACCCACTGCAGCAGGGGCTGCAGCCTACGCCGTCCCTGGCGACTCCCAGCAGCCCAGCTCTAGGTTGAGCTGTTGTTCAGCGTATTAGCTGTACAGGGCAGTGTCACTGGCCCTCATATGTGGGATCCAAACCAGGGCCCTCTGGCGTCCCAAGCCAGTTCTTAACCATCGCGCCACTTGGCCGGCCCAACACGTTAGTATTATTAAAGAATAGTTTGACCTTGCAAATTCCCCTAAGTAAATGGTGGTGTTATATAGCTAAATGTTAAAAAGTTAATTATATCCAACCACCAATACAGAATGGTGCTTTCTGTTGGCATCAAGGTAAATGTGATCTTGCTTCTGGAATTTTTTTTTTTTTTTTTTGGTTAAAATGAGCTTTCTGGCTGGTAATGGCTGTATCTCTAAGAAGACAGAAAGGTGGACTTTGCTAGTTTACAGTACAGGAGTGTGAACAACTTCTTGCATATTGGCTAAAATTGTTGGTGACTACAACTTCTACCAAAAACAGGTTAAATGTTCTGCCTGACAAATCAGAATAAGTCGGTTTACAGCTTTTGAGAAATCAGAAGGCATTCCCATCTGGGCTGTTCTGCATATAAGACATAGGAACTTGGACAAGTTATTTATTACTGTATCTCATTTCCTCATCAAATATAGAACTTACCACCTACGCTGCCAAGAGGAATAAATGAACTATCACATGTGACAAGTGCTTAGTTCATATAACACATAGACAGTGCACAGTTCAATGCTTGGCACATAATGAGCCCTTGCTAATGCTTGCTGCTACTCTTATCACTATTGTCATCATCACTGTTGTTAGATGTAATTTGAAGATAATTTAAATTGATCAATGGTAAATTTTAGGCAGCATCCAAGTCACATAGAGAAAGGCATAAGATGCATTCGAAGAAGCAGAATATAATTCAGTTAGGTTGAAACATAGGAAAGTCCAAAAGGGAATAAATAGGAGGAAAAGATGGAGAAGTTGATTGAAGAGGACTTTGCATGTTAGAATAAAACTTTAGAATTTAATTTTTTAGGTAGTTGGGAGGCTATTAAAGGCTTTTGAATGATACAATTCAAGTTCTGCTTTGTTCGATTAATCTGGTAGCAGGATGCATATCGGATTTCATAGAGGTAACTGAAGATAGATACAGCACCTGGACTCATGGAATTTACCTTGCCATTTTGACACAATTGGCTATTAAATTTCAATTTTAGAAACAAAATGGGATTCAAAGTTTTGAAAGAGTTAGCCACAAATTAAGGAATGTTGCCACTGTAAATGAATGATGTGGTTGAAACTTCTTTGGGTCAGAGTTAGCTCTGAGCCAAAATCAAATGGAAGGAAACCACTGCCAAGTATTAATTATATTTTGTGCCTACATATGCTTTTTTGACCTTTATTTTATTATACTGGAAAAGGTTTAATATTTGGTTATAAAATTATTTCTATGCTTGATAGATATAAAAGGTGGGAAGAAATTCCTTTTGTACCATTGTATTCATATAGTTTTTTGATCTCTAAAACAAAATGTTGAGCTACATAAAAGTAGAATGACAAATTTGCTTTTCTTTGCCCCTTTTTACTTACAGGAATTTAGTTATAAGTTCCTGATTCCTTATTGTCTGGACCCTGAGAATACAGTAACAGTGAAATTCCAAATCATTGCTTTTGGAGATGTAATAAAATCATGATATAAAAATAGCTATGTGGTCTTGGTCACTATTACTGAATAAAACAAAACAAAACAAAACAAAACAAAACAAAAGAATAAACCCCAAACTTTCTAAATTCACCACTGTGACCCCGCAAGCATCTCTTTCTAGGCAATGGCTCTCAGTCAGGAAGAGTTAAAAATAATCAAGTAACACATTCCTTTATTATATACCCAAGGGAAAATAGTCTGCAATTATGGATGCATATTGATCTTTCCCTAACATTCATACTTAAATAAATTTCTGTCCATCGTATGTGGTTGAGACTGTTATTTTTTAATTCAAATATGCCTAACGTGATTAGAGTATCCACAGAATACAAAAAGTACCCTAAATGTGACTGAGCAATTAAGTTTGGCATTCTAGTGTGGAGCAAAAATGTACTCCCCAGGGGGCTCCATGTGTTGGCACCACCCAGCTGTTTGAAGAATTTGCTTGATGAAAGCAAAAACCAAGGGAGAACAAGGGAAAACAGGTGGTGTGTCAAGAGCAGTGTTTCAGTGTGACATCTGCAGGTGGCTCTGTGGATCCAGGATCAGACTGACTCACTTGAAAAGAATCCTCCTTGGGTTGCATTCAAAGCCTGCTGAAACTAAAAGAGAACTGAAAGTGTTAAAACAATCTTAAAAATAGAAAAAGAGGGAAAGAAGGCACATGAAGACATCTACAAACTTCAGAAATGATTTGATTTAGTTGAAATATATGTATTATATAGTAATCTGTATTAACATATACATAATATACATGTTACTATTATTTGAGTATAATATTAAAATTATGAAGTATTGTGTGTTTCATCATGTCTGTAATTTAAAAAAACAAAGCACAAAAACAAAAAAACAAGTATCTTGGAGACCTTCTATTGTCTTTTATTGCTGTCTCACAGGAAACCAGTAGGGTGTGCTCATGACTCAACATTCTACGTGTGACAGCCCACCCTGCTCCTTGGTATTTGCACTAAAGGTAAACAAAAATAGTATCCATTTAAGAGGTAAAATGCCCTGTTCACACATAGCTCTTGCAGACACTTTCATGCTCCATTAAAATGACATGTTAAGATATACTTCTCTTGCGTTGGTCCCTGTGCTGAAATGTTGATCGATCTCTTCTCCAATTCTTTTCTTCACTTCTGGGGGGTAATCCCTCAATCTAGGTCCCAATTACCAAAGCTTTCTGTCTTGTCTCCTGAGTCTCTCATTCGGACAGCTAATATTCCTGAGTCGGATACAGGAATCTTTCTGGTAAATAAACACGTTTGCAGAATGGAGACAAGCTAACTTATGCTGCTAAAAATCATGTCTACAGTTCATCCCCTGGTACCTAAAAGAATAATATAAAGCCATCCAGTCATCTATTTCATTGCTTTCAACTTCTGAGGAGACCTCATTTCTCTAGCTGCAAAGCAAAAAAAACAACAACAAAAAAAAACAGTTTCACAATCTGGACTCAGAGTAGATCTGAGAGACAAAAATTAAGTAGTAACACAAACAGTTCTTTCCAGGATAAAAATAGGCAGCAGGACATTGCATTGGCTTTCCCTTAGACATTCTTTGTAATTTGTGGAGGTAGTATACATTTAGTGGCCTTCCCTGGCTTGACACGTGATGACTTGGCTCAAAGACCCTGACAAAATGGATAGTATGAGCTCATCTACCTGTTTGCTTAACAACTGTGTGGACTACTATTGTTTAATTGTACCTGGCACAGCTGAAAATGTCTGAACTCAAACATTTCGAGCCATATCCAAATTTAGAGTGATCAACAGTACTTTTACTCATATTGCTGTTCTAGGTTAAAGCTCACTCTTGTATGTTTGCGATAGGATATACCTGGGTATTCTAAAACATTCTAGGGGTCTCTTCTATGTATCTTTATTTGGAGTATTTAATATGCTTTTTTAACATGGTAAAAAATCAACAGCCCATAAAAATAGTTTACATAAAGTATGAGGCTTATAATTGCAAAAATCTTTATTTAAAACTGTATGTATTGCTCTATGCCATGTTTTTGTTTTTGTTTTTTAATAAGAGACTCAAGCATTCATGGATTTTGGTTTTCACACAAGATCCTGAAATAATTCCCTGTGGCTACCAAGACAACTTGTAGTTAAGCTTTTGGGGAGTTAAATATTATATGCAGATTTTTTACTGCAAGGGAGTCAGGGTGTTTAAGAGTCAACTGTAATTTACTGAGGGATGGAAAACTCAATAGTGACTACCAGGTATTCCGTGCATGCTCTCCTTCTCCTTCTCTTTCACAAACCTTCCTGCAGTCAAGTGGGGTCCATATTACTGGTTCTGGCCAACGGTTTGCAAAAATGACGCATGTCAGTTCTGGGCTGGGACAGTTAAGAGCCAGTGTATCTTTTCATACTTGCCTTCCACTACAACCAATCTTGAAGACCACAAGTTCAGTTGTAGTGGATACTAGACATGGAAGAGCCATCCAACATGTATCAGACTTTACGGAGTGAGAAGTAAATCTCATGTATGTTAAGCTTTGAGGTTTGGGGGATTTTCTTTGTGTGGTAAGCACCAGCCATCCCGATTAAAATATGAGGTTCCCAATTTCTTTAATAAATGCAATAGTTTAATTAAACTTTCTACTTATTTTTTCTGACTATAATAGTACATTCATAGAGTTCATAATTTAAAAGTTCAATGGGCTATAGAGTGAAAAATCTATCTTCCATTCATGAACTCTAACCACCCATTTTCTCTTCTCGGGGGCAGACATAATTAATAATTTCTCATATATATTTCCAGAGATATTTCACTTATATATAAACAAGTTCATATAATAAATTGCTTTTTTTTACACAAATGAAAGCATACTACACATTCTGTGTTTTGCTTTTGATTTATGGAAACTTTATTAGGGAAATTTACCTTTTATCTGTGATAGGTGTTGCAAATACTTTTTCTCACTTTGTCACATCTTTTGGAAAATGCTTTCCTAATGAAAAATATTATTTTAGTTTATGCATCACGCTTGGAAAGAGCTTTGAGATTAGTTTTATAAAATGCTCCCCTGTTTTCTTTTCTAACTTTTTCCCCCCATTTTTTATACTTTAAAATATTGATATACCTGAAGTAAGGCTTGAGGTATGGGTCCAACTTTAATCTTTTCCAGATAGCTACCTGGTTGTTTCAATTTTATTAAACACTTTCCTCACTGATTTGAAATGCAACCTTTATCGTATCTACTTTTCCAGATGTTCTTGGATCTATTTCTAGACTCGCTGTTCTATTCCATTGATCTGTCTCCCTAATGTGTGCCAATATCATTTATTTTTCAGCTCATGCCAATATGGCTTCCATACTTATTACTTCAGTGAAATTCCTTTTGTCCAAAGATGTTCACTCTAACTGATATTTAATGCACTGGGGAGGTGCTGACCATGTGTGGCAAGTGAGGGAAAAGGGACTAGATCTGTAAACGGAGGAGGCAGTGTTATAGAAAGAGGAATACTCTAGGAATCACTGTATTTTCTAATAGCCAGCCATTGGGTTTGTGGCCCAAGTTAGTAATTTCTTTCTTCTTTTTTATACCTTGGCTCTGGAAGCAAGGCTACAATAGAGCACTAGTTAGGTAAGCACATTGATAGGTGTCTACATCACTTTACACCTTTACCTTTTTGGTATTCATCTTGAATAATCTACTGACAACTTCAATTCTTTCAAGTTAGGAGAGGGGAGTGGCTAGTTACCTATCTTTTTTCCTCATAATGACCTGATTTTGTCCAAAAAAAAAAAATTGATCAAGAAAGAATTCAGACATACCATAGTAATATTTTTTTAATTATTATTTTTTACTTATCCAAATTTCTTGGAGACTGAATACAGTTCCATAGTTTTTGGTATGATTTACATCTCTTATTCACTATTTTTGTTATATAAGGCATGAGAAAGTCTGAGAGAAAGGAATAATTCTGAATAAGAGCATAAATGAGCTAGAAAATATTTTCAAAATTTGACCTAAATTAAAAAAAAAAAACAACTCCTGAATACATCGTTGTTTCCTTATAATTTTCTATTTGACTTGTAAGTTCTTTTTTTAGGGAATTGTAATGAAAACTTGACTATAATATTTGAAGCTTTTCAAAATAAAGTTCTTCTGAATTAGTTCTAAGCATAGATAGTACTCATATTTTTCTTATAAATAGGCCTCTAATCATCTAACTCTTAGATTGGAATTTGTACTTGTTTTTGTGTATATGCTTAACTTTAACTGAAATATGACAGAGGATATTAATGAATAAATATTCACAGAATTTATTCTTTCCTCAACCTTCCAAAGAGAATATTATAATTGCCAGCCCTGTTTTGCTTCTGTTAAAGAGTTTATTAGTTACCTGTTGTCATGATAATAATGTATATCATATTGTCTCAAATCTCAGTAATTTAAGATAATAAGAAATTATTTACCTCATCCTTCCATGGTCAAAGATTTCAGCTGGGTTTGGTGGGGCTATTCATCTGACCAGAATTATGTACAGGTCTTGTGTAGACTGGTTGCCAGCTAGGATGACAGCGATGTCTGGTCCAAGTGTCTTGTCATCCTCCGCTGGCTAGCCTGAGACACTCTCGTGGTGCTGTCAAAGGCAAGGATAAGAGCAAATCCAATTGGGCAAATGCTTACTCAAGCTTCTGCTTTTGTTCTACTTCCCAAAATTACATTGGCCAAAGCAAATCACCTGTCTGAGACTTATGTGAGGGTAGGTTGGAGCTATGGAGTTTCATGAAAAAGAACATACATACAAAGAAGGGCAAAGAATTGGGGTCATTAATGCAATCTATTGATCACAATGGGAAATAATATATTACAGGGAAATATGCTAATTAATAACTAATTAGTTTATAATTAATGGCAAACCAATATAAGACTGTGAAAGAGGAGGAAAGAAAACCTCAAGGACTGGAAGTAGAGGAAGGAAGGTTTTTTGTTGTTATTGTTTGTTTGTTTTCTTTTGGATGGTGAGGAAGCATGGATGAGAAAGAAAGCTGTGAGGAAAGTGAGATGAAAACAAAGGGTACTTTAATGGGTATTTCTAAAGACTTTTTATTCTAATCACTTTAATGTCATCCAAGAGGTCACAGAATGAAATTCCTCTTTAATCACTTTTGGCCCTCAAGCTATAATTTGTATGTATCATAGCTTCATGACTAAACTGTGTTGATCTGTAGATTCATAAGTGTTTAATGCAGACACTCTAGCTGGCAAGCTCCTCGTCATGTTCCCCTTTTATTTTTTTTTAAGCTGAGTAGCAGAGCCATCCTGCCACCTGTTGACAGCTCAGCAGCAGCTCAGCTTGGGCCGGGAATTGAACCGGTGACCCTGTTGCTCAGAGCTGGTACTCTTGAGTGAGCTCTTAACTAACTGAGCCACTTGGCCAGCCCCTTTTACTTTTTTAATGAATTGTTATTTAGGTCATAAACCGCTGTATCCTTTGGGAAGTTGAATGCCTCTCTGAGTGCTGGCTATAAGTATTAGCTTGCAGCTCCAAACTCATCCCCTTATACTTTGCTTTGAGATACTGGGGTTGGGATTGTGCAGGCATCCTTTACCTTTGCCAGAGGAGTTCCTGTTAGATTCTGCTCATAGGGGGCACTGAAGGGAATCTGGGGGAGGAAGAGGGGACATGCTGCTCTCTGATTTCTCACTTTACTAATGGCTCTTCATTCCAGCATTTGGTTTGAGCAATAGCTGTTGGTACCAGTTGCCGTTTTTTTCTACACTCCAAGAGCTAGCGCCATCGTGCCATCACCGGTGTCAGCATCAGCTGGCTGAGGCTCCCCCATGGAGGTCTGGGTCCCAGCTCTGCAGGATTTTGTTCCTCTGAGCTCTTGAAGCGCTGGCACCAGTACTAAACTTTTTGGTTTATGCTTGAACTAATGTATAACCTAAACCAACTCAACTAATCTCAAGGGTTAAAGTGAAAAATATTTGAAGGTTATGATCACTTCTTCGTATTATCTTAACATATTTTTTTCCTATGCGATATACCCCTCCACATACATAAAACTTACTGATATGTGAAACAATTTCAAGTGTTTAATTTAGAAGCCATTTTCTCTGTGTAAATCATTCTAAACAACTGATCTAGAATTCTTGGATTCACTGAATTATCAGGTTGCTAATAAGAGGAACTCTTTAATAGAAGGTATATATAAAAGTGAAATGACCAAAGTGAAATAAAAAAACATTGTTTGGAATAAACAGAGCTTGCCTATGTGAGAGTATGTTGGAAATTAAAGGGAACACTTGTAATGGAAGACAAATTTTGATGAACACTAAAGCACTATTTTAAATTTGCAAATAGGCCTTTCTTTTTTGATTCTATAATAGAAGTTTCTGAGAATTTAATTTTAACTTTTAAGTTTGCATTTCTTTAGTTAACTGTGTATCTCTTCTCACTGATTTTCTTCCATTGTATAACCCTCTTATACAATGTACTCATAATTGCAAGTATTTATAGTAATACACTTGTGGTATATGATACTCATTAAAGTGCCTAATGCTAAATTTTGGTATTAAATTTAAAACAGAAATTGTTTTCCTAGTGCTTATTGGTAGTCCCTTTCTCTAGCTATTATGATAAATTTCTACTGAACAGAAGAGCTTATGGAAAAGGAATAGGCAACATTACATTGGCTGGCCTGTTTGGAATGGCATGAGGCTATGGGAGAAAAAGAATGTGTCTTTGCCTTTTCATTGACTTATTCATGATTCTGTGTTGTCTATGAGCCTGGAGACTTTAATAGTAGACACATTTTTATAAGTGAAATAGCATACTTTATACTGGCAATGCTAGCATGCCTGCTATGAGCTCTCTGCTTTATTTTCATTAGGGATTTGCCCTAGATATTTCATTTTAAAAAATCAGGGATAGAATGGCACACCAGCTTTCAAATATTTGGGGGGAGGGAAAGCAATAATAATAACATAACCAAAAGTTTGGGACAAGAAAATTTTTGCTTATTCTATTATTTTCATTCTCAGAAAAAAATAGTTTTCAGAATTAAAGGTGATTTCTAAATCATGCCATTTCATTCTGATTAAGAAATGTAGGGACTCACATATGTCAAAATTTCAAGCAATTTCGAGGCAGAGCTTCTCTATTTTTCTGCTTTGTTACCCACCCAGCCCCCTCAAAAGGTAAAATTAAAATATTTTCATATTTCAGATAATTTAAAAATTATTTTTTGTTTGTTTATATTGTGGTAAGAACATTTAACATGAGATCTATCATCTTCACAAAATGTTAAGTTTACAATACAGTATCGCTAACTATAGGAACTCTGTTGTACAGAAGGTTTCTAGAGCTTATTCATCCCGTGTAACTGAAACTTTATACCAGTTGAATAATGACTTCCCATTTCCCCTCTCCCCATCCCCTGGCAACCACCACTCTGCTCTCTGCTTTTATGACTTTGGCAATTTGAAATATATACATAAAATCATGCCGTGCCTGTCCCTCTGTGACTGGCCTGTTTCACTTAGCATAATGTCCTCCAGCTTCATTCATTTTGTCACATGTGGCAGGGTTTTCTTCTTTTTTCGAGGCTGAATAATATTTCATTGTATGTACACATTTTTTACACATGCCACATTTTTTAATGCATTCATCCATTGATGGACATTTAGGTACTTAGGTTATTTGTATATCTTGGCTATTACAAATAATACCAGATACTTTCATGCTAGCTAATATTAACTGAAAGATATACTAAAGGGATATTTTAGACAGAAGGATAATGATTGCAGATGGAAGCCTGGATGAATTGTGAGAACGAATGAAAGCAAAGGAAAAGGTAAGTATAAGAGAATAACTATACATGGATATTATCTATTTAAAATAAATAATAATGTATGTGGGGCTTAACATATGCAGAATTAAAACATGGCAAAGTAGCACAAATTTGAGAGGGCAGGGTAACTGCAGTTTCAGTGTTATAGAGTCTGTTAGGGACTGAACTGTGTCCCTCCAAAATTCAATTACGTTGAAGCGCAAAACCCCAATGTGACTGTATTTAGAAATAGGACCTTTAAAGAGATAATTAAAGTTAAATGAGGTCATAAGAGTGAGGCTCTAATCTGATAGGACATGTATCCCTATAGGAAGAGGAGGGGACACCAGAGCTTTCTCTCTCTCTCCATGCATGCACAGGGCAAGGTCACGTGAGGACAGAGAGAGAAGGCAACCATAGGTTATTTAAAAAGATTTATAAAACTGATAAACACTCTAGTAATACAAATTGTGAAAAAAGGGCAGAAAACAAACATGCATTACTAATATAATGAATGCGATGATGATGTTACTATAGATCCATAGATTTGAAAAGATAATGAGCAAATGCCATTAAATTAAAAAGATCATCTTCAAATACAACTTACAAAAAATTGACACAAGACAAAACATAAAATCTCAATGCTCCTGTATTTGTTAAACAAATTAAAACTGCTTATATAGTGCAATACTATAAAACAAAAAAAGAGAATGAACTACTGATACACAGAGCATGGGTGAATCTCCGACACAGTGATGAGGAAAAAAGCTAAATACCTAACAGTACAAAATGTATGATACCGTTCATATAAAGTTCAAAAACAGGCAGAACTAATCTACGGTGATAAAAGTAAATATGGTGGTTACTTTTGTGTATTGGATAAAGATTAGATGGGAGCATAGGAAGGTTTCTGGGAAGCTGGTGGGTATGTGTGTGAGAACTTTGTAATAATTTATCAAAGGCACATTTAAGGTTTGAGTTCTTTCCTGTATACGTACTTATTTTAATAAGCATCAAAGTTATAACAACTACAAAAATTGTAGAGAAAATGGTTTCATTTCTTGAAGTTAATTTCTGAGATTGCCAAAACAACATCCTGCCTTCTTTGTACTTTTTACATCAACATTGCATTAGTCTTTTGGGGAAGATTATAAAATGGATAATTGTTAGTAAACTCTATGTATGGGATTCAATTGTGTCATTGAAGAATTAAAAACCAAGTCTATTTTTAGTATTTAGGCCATCTGAATTTACTAGCTGACTTCAAGGAAGAAAAAATTGAGGGTTTATGAGGAGTCTCAGTAGGAAGTGTTTATATTAGATACTTAGAACTGCGGGACACTGTGAGTTGGAAAACATAGGCAGATCCAATTAACAGATTCTGCAATGTGGAAACAACCATATTAGGCATTTGGACAGCTTTATGTGTGAATGCGAGAACATACTTACAAGAAGTGTTACCGTTTTATCTGAGAAGTTCATGAGAATTTTTCTATAGTCTAGGGATTTGTGATGAAAATCAGGATATATTGGTTCCTCATTTGTGGAATTCTCTAATAAAATTCCTTGATAATCATTATTTAAAGGAATAATACTGGTTTTGAAGGGTGAGTAATAGCCTATCTGCCTGTATGAGACAAGAAAAGAAAACACGTTTTTTCGCCACTATTCTCTCTATGCTAATGCTTTGGACCCTCCCTACACATGAGGGACTTGAGCTTGTATGTGTGTCAAATTAACAGAGATTGTTGCATATATGACCAGCTGCTTTCTGATGAACATTCCAGCCACCCATTGACTTTTCTAAATAATGAATTGTTTTGAAAGGACTCATTCATACTGGCAGATTGTAGATTAATGCAGATGTGTACATTTTCAAAAAGAAATATAGTCTACTGACTCATAAACCCCAGAGTAAAAATTTAATCAATGATCCCTTTAGAGAAATTGGAATTTGGATTGGAAACCTTGTTTCTACAAATTTATCCTGATATTTCTGACCTTATAGACTATATGGAATGCTTAGGAACAATGATTCTTAAATTGGTATTCGTAGGTCTCTAGAGAATCAGAGAAAATTCCAAAAAGGTTGCAAAAAAACCTCAAGAACTCTTTGGTGGCACTCAGATCCGTTGGCAAAATCTCCACTACATTTGTTATTTATTCCCCCTTTGGCTGATATGTATCCAGCCATTCTTGCTAATGCATATTTTTAGGACAGAAAACATCCCTGTCTCATTTTTATTTTATATATCACTACCTTTTCCCAAGGTTGTCATTCAAGAAATCAAGGTGTGTGTGTGTGTGTGTGTGTGTGTGTGTGCGTGCGTGCGTGCGCACATGCATGTTTATATTCTTAGCTGTGCTTTGTATTGGGTTGAGGATAAAAAAAGAGTGCAAACAGGAAAAAGATTAACGAGTACTTGGAAAAGTTGCTAGAGACTGTGGTATACAAATTGAAGAACCATTTTTTTCAGAATAGTCATTCCTGGTAAATACACCTTGTGAAAATTCAAAATGTCAAGGCTTATGCAAGTGAATAAAACCTTTAATTATTATTTTTGGATAAAACATTACCTTCAGGGGGAAGTATTTCAGTGGAAATTCAGTGTGCGTTGGGATAGTCATGTTTTCTTTCACTCATGTAATTCCACAGAAAATGATTTGCATTCATATCACAAATAAAAATAAAACAGAAATTATGAATCAGGTATTTAATTAAAAACAATTAAAAAGTGAATTAATTACTAGAGAGTATTCTCTGAAGGTAAATTTAAGGATTAGGCTTTCAAAATGTTTGCTTTAAAGAGAGAAGCTAATGTTTCCAGTGGAAAGTTATTTAAATTTTACTCCTCAGAATCATAAACACTTTCAGTAGATTGCATAGTAGTAAGCAAGTGATTAAATGAAAAAGATTACAATGAAGAAAATAGTAGATATATGCATTTTTCCTCTGAAAAGGTAATTGTGTAGTTCTCAGCATTTTTCTAGGTTCAACTGAAACAAGTAACCATTTTCAAAATAATATTCTTTTAGACTCTGTGATATGTTTGTTTTTAAAATCCAAAGGAGTTCAGTTATGTTACCTAAGGAACCCTCCTCCTCTCCCAAAAAGTTCTTTTAAAAACTGTTAGTAATCTTCCTCAAGTTTGTTATTTATTCCAGAACCGGGCTGTGAACCAATTAAAATTTTAAAGAGCTATTGAATCTGCAATATCCAAAACACCTGAGATTTAACCTGCAGAAAGTAATTTTTTAGAGGGGAAATAATTGGAAAAATGTTCCATATGCTGCTACTGCCTGGTTTTTATTGGTTTAACATGTAGATTTCCATAGACTTTTTGGAACACAGAGAGGGGATTTTTTTTTTCTTTTTTGAAAGCAGGAAGGCTTTGTTTGCCAGGTGAATATTTCAGAGCTCTAACAACTCTGATAGAAAACAGCTTTAGATTTGGATAGGAACAGTACGTGTGAAAAGTTGTGATGAAACCAGAAAGAAGCTTTCTGTGACAGCATCGATTTATATATAATATTAGAGATGATTATATAACCTGTTGTCAACAATTGATTCTGTAATTGTCAACTCAGCAATTTTTGAGGAGGGATGATGACATATGGTGAATCTTCTAATTTTGAAAAATATATACTGCTGAATAACACTGGCAAAAAATTGTTATTATAAAGAATGCCTTTTACAAAGAAAAAAGAAGTTTAACAATTCTTAAACTCTCTGAGGAACTGAAAACAGCAAATATTACCTTGTAGCCTCACCTTGTAGCAATCAGTCTCGCCACCAGCTCTTAGTCATTCTTTCTCTCCTCTCAATTATTTTTTTCTTTCTCATTGTGTTATTCACCTTCTACATCTTCATAGTTCAGTTAATTTATTATTGGGTTGTTGGAAAAGTCATGCCGCATTTTTGCAACAAAAAACAGAAAAAATACAACATGAATTTTCCGTCAACCCAATGCATTCATTGTTACTTTCAGTCTTACCCTACCTACTGGAAAGGACAAGAATCTTTCTCTGTTGTGTTTACTGATACACCCCATGCTTATAATGATACCCAGCACATAGCTGATGCTCAGTAAATATTTATCAAAAACAAAGCAATTTTTATATTTGTGTTGGGAGAGAGAAAAATAATAGATAACATTTGTTTAGCCATTCCTCTGTGCCAGGCACTGTAAGTCTTTCTTTTACTTGCATTTTCTCATTTAATCCTCACAAATAACCTCAAGAAATAGACTTTTGATTAGAGACTACTACTACTGCCCTTTTTAAAGATGAGGAGACTGAGGCTCACGGGGTTCAGGTCAAGATTAAATGGCCAGGAAGAGGTACAATCAGGAATTGAACTGAAGTCAGCCTGTCCAACACGAGAGCTTCTGCTCTTTGCCACCATGTACTCTTCTTTAGGTAATATTTCACTCTTTCCAGTGCTTGAACTGAAACAAGTAAATATCAGTTCTATGTAGACTTAAAGGACTTCCAAATCACAATGAACAATTCTAGCAGTAATTGCCAAATTTGTCTATGGAAAATGGGCATTTCATGGTGATTGAATTGTACCATTGTCTTTTGTTTGCTAGTTTTCAGGGGATAGAATTTTAGACATTCTAGTTGGTGAGCACATACAGAGCCAGAAGTTTGTCACCGACTATTGTGACTTGGCCAGAACTGACTCTTCCCAAGATCAAGACATAGAAATGCAGGCCCGTGATTGGTACTAGCATCACATTATAGTCTTATTCCCTGGGTATAATGTAAGTTGGCTTGTATGGATGACATCAAATTCTCAACAGTAATAGGCTAAGAATGGTCTTTTTTCACTTTTACTGTTATGTTGACTAGTTTGTTAAGACAGCCAAAGATAAAAAGAGTCAGATTTGTTCGGGATCTAAAAAAAGCTCTGAATGGCAGGATTTGTTCATTTTATGTTATGGGGTGCATAACTCTCAGGGCAAGCAAAAATTAGAATAATTATTCATTTCTATTTTGATTTACCCATCAAATGCAGTTGGCTCTAGAGTTTGTCAATCTTTATATTGAAAAGTGAAGGGCTAATTTATTAATTATTAATTTGGTCAATGTCAAGATCATGAACCAAGTAAATGAAGCATCACAATTATTGCATTGTTGGAAAAGTCATGACGCATTTTTGCAACAAAAAGCATAGAAAAAATGTCATGACTTTTCTGACAACCCAATATTATAAAACAGTAAATCTAAGAAGAATTCTGAATCACCTGGTTTTAGATTTTGATTATGAGTAACTTAAAGGTGTTTAATTTTATTTCTGACCTGTTCTCATATTTTTTTGTTTTACCAATCCAATTTATTTAATGGAGAACAATATGTCTATTACATGACATGTTAAATAAATCTAACTAATGAATAATGGCAAAACTACTACATATATGCTAATAAGGAATGATTTGGCACCATATATTGTAGAATAATAAACAGAATTCCTCTGATCTTTCTGGAAGAAAGAATACTCATACATTTATAATATCAATGACACTGCAACAACTATTGTTCATGTAAATATTTTTTAATATATTGTGGGGTTATTATGAAGGACTGATAACTCCCTTTTACCAGATAAAGATGGATTTTTTTTTTTAAAGATTTTTATTGGGGAGTTGGGGGAAGGGGAACAGACAAGTTGCTGTCCTTTTGTTCTTCAGTCTAGTTGTGGAGGACGTTGCTTCACTGGCCCAAGTTGGCACCATCATTGCGCTCTTCCCGGGCGAGGCAGATCAGTCGCCGGCTTCTGGACGGCAGCTCACTGCGGCTGCTGGCCGCTCACGCTGGCTGCTGGCTACACACGGTAGCCCATGGCAACCCACTGCCACAGAGGCTGCAGCCTACGCCATCTCCAGCGACTCAGGCAGCCCAGCTCCAGGTTGAGCTGCCGTTCAGCATCTTAGCTGAAGAGGGCAGCGTCACTGGCCCTCATATGTGGGATCCAAACCTGGGCCCTCTGGAGTCCCAAGCCAGTTCTTAACCATCGCGCCACTCGGCCGGCCCAAAGATGGACTTTTAAAATCCATAATAACATGGGTAGTAATTAAGACAGAACTGGCTCCTGCATATGGAAGGCATGCCTAACATTTATTTTGAATAAAGACGATAATTACCATTATAGTGCATCTTATTTGATTACATAGCATTTGAATACGTTTTGACAATGGAAGAATATTTATGTAGACTTTACCTTCAATAGTCTTGTCTACCAGGACATAGTACTGTAATATGAATCATTATTACCTTTCACTTCTGGCTTTTTCTATGTATGTGTGTGTATACTCTGAAACAGAAAAATCTCTGGTTGATTTTTAAGTCATTTAACATTATTTTTAAATGGTTTGATTTTTAAATTTAAAATTATTGCTAGTTAAAATGTCAAAGATGTTTGCATAACAATTATCAATCTTATTCACATTTATATTTGCTTTTTTGAGTGGAAAAGACCACTGTTTCTAATTAGGACATAGAAAATGGCCTAAAATCCTTAGAAAGTGTCCAGGGAATTAGTCACTACTTATGAATGTTAAATGATGATCGGAAGCCTCGGTCTGCGCTGTGCCAGGTGTGTGTAATTACCCTTATTCTGGCTCCCTTCTAGGATTTATCATACCCACATACCTCTCTGGTTCAGAAACGTCCAAGATTAACCCAGGATTTTTGTGCATGCTCTGAATATACAATGAGATGCCTATAAAGTGCTATCTGCCCCATGTCAACTGAAACAAATGCAGAATTTTAGTACATTGGTGGTAGGATTTGGGTAGTAAAATGGCAAGGGCTTGGGGTTCAGTCAGACTTGAGTTTACATTCTAACTCAGCTGCTTACTAACAATGCAACTGTGAGCAAGTAACCTACCCTCTCCAAGCCGCAATTTCCTCATGTGTAAGAATTAGGTTTACAGTTCTTAACATCTTGTGTTGTAAAGATTAAATGAAATGATGTGTTCATTTGTCCATCAAGACCATTTATTGAGGGCCTACGCAGTGCCAATCTATGTTCTAGGTTCCTGTGATGGATGTAGTTGTAAACTTGCTCATATGGAGCTTTAAGAGAAGTGTATTAAAGTAGCTATTAGAGAAAATACTATAGCATAAGTGTCCTTTAAGTGTCATCCATAGTGAGTGTGTTATGTTATGCCCTCAGATGGATGATTTTGTGCATACCTGAGAGCCTAATTAGGCTGTTATAAAACAGCTTCTTTCAGAAGGCAAACAAAAATTGTAAAGGATATAGAAAAAGTTAACCTCAATACATATAAAGGAGAACCACTACCACTTAGGTTATATCATATGACTAATTGTTTTAACAAATGGGGGAATGATGAGAAGAGTGAAAATTGTAGTTAGATGTAGGCTTTCAATATATTTGGTTAACCCTCCCCTGCTCCCTCTCCTTTCTCCCCACCTTCTCCATCTTCCACAGTTTTCATTGACAAGGAATTTCACTATTTGTTCTGGTTCATTTCATGGCTATTATGATAGCCTGCAATTAGTTGGAAAAATAATTTTGAAATAAATCTGATAAACAGATTTACGTATAGGGCCCATTATACTCAAATCATAACCAGATGGTGTTTCAGGATCTGACCAACTTGATACATTGGCAGCAGGAGTGGGGTAAAATATATCTGAATCCTGGAGCCATCACAAAAGATTTAGCGTGTCACCCTCACTAAAAAAAGAGCAATGCCAAATGATATGCAACTCCAAAGAAAAATTTCAGAGAAAGGGCAAGATGTGGAGGTCTTAGAAGAACAGAAACACAGATGCTCACTTTGGCTGTTTTCCATAGAATAATATATATATATATATATATATATATATATATATATATATTTAAAAAGCCACAGAACCAAAGTATGAGGTGGGGGGAGACTTAGGTGTTAGAAACCACCCCCAGGAGTTCAAGAAGAAAGAACCATAGATGACTTCTTTTTACTTGGGAAAAGAAACATATTCCTAAGGTACAGGAAGAAAAGAAAGAATCCTGGGGCAAGCCAATGAATACATAAAATATTGAACTAAATTACTTGGCCTGTATTTCATTCCTTAGCTATGGTGTTTGAACTTAATAGGGATTAAGGTCAAAGTGGGTGAAGGCACAGATGAGGGAGCAAGATCTGAAATACAAGGATTATTCTTTGAAGTTTTGCTTACTTGTATGTTTTACTATTCTTCCATACACGCATGCCTGTATGTGAATTAGCATGTAGGAGAATCAAGACGATTTGATGCTGAGAAAGAGCCCAGTGATCACCACTTTCAAAGTTCTCAATTAATGATGGGGAAGGGACAGTCAGGAAAGGAGCTGATTAGTCCAAGTTCACCCAGCAGAAGGGAAGAGCTTGAGTGTCGGTCTCTTGCCATGTACTCTTGTGTTTTGTCTGCAAGACTAGTTTACTTCTCATTATTTGTCCTGACGATCAACTCCTGGAAAAGTTAACTATTTGGTAATTCATGTTTTCTTAGAAAAGCATACATTTCATTAAGAATTTCAAATGAATCAGCACAGAATTGTACATACTATTATCTTTCAAATATTTAACCATGTACATTGTTAATTATCTCATTTAAAATTTTATGTATACCTCTCATCATTTCTTTTGGTTTGATTGGCCCTTAAGTTTTATATTTTTTTAATCACCTTAAAAAAATCTATTTTA